ATATACCTATGGAAATGTACTCTTTATTTATATGTACATATCGAGGGCTTATATTCAATACCCTCTATCTACAATTTTGATGAAAATGAGTTTTTGATGGTAACGTGAGCTCTTATTTATCCTTCAGCCATGACAATAATGCCAAACTTAAAATTTTGCTTTTATGGTATTATATTCTCATTTTGAAAAATCCACTATCTGCAATAACATTTTGTTACAAAAGCAAAATCCTCTATCTACACAATTTTGCTGGAAAATCGTTTTCATTACCATTTTTTTGTGGCAGGTCAAATAAAGACTGGGTAAGCTACATGTGCCGATGCATGTATGTATATGTTCCGGTAAAATCCGATCTTAGGTCAAACTAGTTTTGCCCAGGCTAAACGTGTTCTACCTAATGCGATGTCCAACCGAAACCAAATCTTGTGGACTGCGTAGCTTCAGTTGGACTGATGATGAGAGTTACAAAAATAGTTTATTCTAAGATCGGGTTTGGCCGGTAGCTTACAGGTATATACATGTCCGCTCATTTACTACAATAATGTCATAACTCAAAAAATTAAAACTCGAGAAAGACGGCTTTAAAGTTTTGAATTTACATATACGCCGATACTAAAAATGAATACATATTTTATTCTAGTGAGATTCTGGTAAAGGCCGGTATGCAGCTCTCAAGAAAAGCAAAAACTTCATATAAAATGACGTACAAGAAATGGCTAAGAAATTTTCTTGAGTCAAATTTCCTTAAGGCAGTACGCAGTTTTTAAGAAATTTACTACGCTTTCTACTACGGTTTTCTAAAGTTTTTTGTGAAGAAAGAGCATAAGGCAACCCAGTTTTGCAACAGAAATATATGCCCGTTCCATTATTTCTTGAGGAAAGAGTGAGGCAACAGGCTGTGAAGTATCAAAAAATGTCAAAATTCCTTGGACACACACGCGAAATAATGGCAATTTTTTCTTGACCGTTTTCTTGAGAGCTGCATACAGGGCTTAATCGATACAGCTATGATATTTTTACACGAAATAGAAGAAGACGTAGCGATAATTTTTGCATACTCAACTCAAAATTTGTATTTTTTGGATTATGACACTACTAAAGTAAATGAGCGATGTATATATGTTTATTTGCAGCCACTTGGTCCGAAGATTCCCACAATTCTCTCTTACTCATATCTATTTAAGAGTTTGACCAACCATCTCTTCGATGACAGGCAAAAGCCCTGGTGCAGACAAAATCCCGTACCCCGTTCTAAAAAATCATCCGTATCCCATCAAACATAGAGTCATTAAACTCCATAACTACATTTTATTTCAAGGGTTATATCATCAAGAGTGGGAAACTGCTATTATTATTCCTATTGCCAAACTAAATACGCTAATGATATTTTAATTTTTTCTAAGACTAAGGACTTGACGCAAGTAAAAATTATTTTTTCTAACATACTAAACGATCTAATCAATTGGTCCAAATCTTCAGGAGCTCAGATTTAAGCTGAAAAAGTAATTTTTTCACATATGCAGAAAATACAAATAAATACATACATCCAACCCTCTCCTTGTCTAACACCCCTCCCCTATACTGATACATTGAAAATATTTGGAATGATTTTTTACAATAAACCTACTTTTAAGCAGAACTGT